AGGCCAGCTTCTCGGGCAGCGTGGAGGTCATCGAGGTGAGCTGATGGTAGCCAGCGTCGGCCCCTCCATGGGGACCTGGTGCCCCTGAGCCCTGCGCTGCCCTCGGCTGGGCCGCCAGCAGCCGGGCCCACTATAAATATATATTATATATAATTCAAAGAAAGGTAAATGGTTTTACTGCGATTTTTATCGAGAAGTAAATATTTCGATTTTTTTATTTATTGAAGCTGTTCGTTCTGGCAATGACTTGGCAACAGTGAGGGTGGTCCTCCAAGCTCTATTTTTAGTCTGGTATTTAAACTGAGACACGTTTCTAAGCAATATGAGGCCACCCTTCAGTCTCAAGCTGGGTTGCCAGGCCCGGGGTCCCCTCCCCGCCAGCCCCACTCTGAGGAAACACTGCTGATCATTGCAAAGAGGCTGCCGAGCTTTCGTGCACTTTTTACTTAAGAAAAAAGGGGGAAAAGGAAGAAAAAAAAAACCTTGCCACAAACTGAGCCGCAGAAACTCCTGCCTGCCCTCCCGCCCACCCCTCTCCGCACCCGTCCCCTCCCTCCCTTTTTTGGGCTGTGCACCAAAGCCATAGGAGCTGTGGTCCAGGAGTCCCTGCCACCCCTGCCAGCTCCAGGCACCGCGTGTTGGTGCCAAGGAGGGCACCTCCACCACCTGTTTTCCCAGCCTGTGCCTGGCAGGTGCTGACCAGCACTGGGCCTGCCAAGGCCAAGTGTGCCAGGGGCTGGGGTATAGAACAGGGAGGATTAGTGAAGGGGGCTCTTGAGTGTCAGAGGCAAGGGGTCCCGGGGCAGGGATAGAGGTGGAGTGCCCCCCACTCCCGCCTGAGCCAGGCCCACTTTCAGGGGCTCAGCAAGGCTATTCAGAGGCTGCCTCCCTCCCCTCTGCTCTGAGAGTGTCCCCAAACGCCCTCTGGGGTGTCTGGCAGGAGGAGCTGAGCTCTCCTGCCTGCCATGCTGGCTGCACTGGTCAGAGGGCAGATGAGTTTAGGGTCTTATTCTGAGCTCTCCCTCTACCAGCCCTCCCCAGGCCAGACTTGGAAGTCAGGTGCATTGCAGGTGAAGGGCTGCGAGGAGTGGCTGTGAGCACCTGTCCAACCCCATGCTTGGACAGGTGGGGGGGCCTTAGGTGATGCAGGACGTGTCCCCCAAGTCTACCCTGCCCTCACTGGGGCCTCAGAGGAGAGAAACCCCCTGCACACCCCTTTCCCGGAGAGCTCTCCCCTCTGAAGTCTCCCAGTATCTTCAAGTGGTATGCCAGTCCCCACCCCAGGTGGCTTTGGGCCCAGGTGGGCCGGCCTGGGAGTGAGGGCAGGAGAAAAGGCCCAGCCACCCTGGCCCACACCCACTGGGGTTCTTGGGACCCAAAGTTTTTGGAATAGGTGTCCCCGACCTTAGAAGTCCTAGGGTCTAGGATGTGGAGCTGGCCCCTAGGGAAGCTGGCAGGAGGGGTGGCCCCGGCAGGACTGAGTCCCACCCCCAGCTGCCCCTCTGGCTGTTTCTATTTGTTCTTTGGACCCACAGCCCCATGTCCCTGTCATACCTCCTTTAAGCGGAAGTCCTGTTCCTGATCTCTGTCCCCACCCCGTTCCCCAAGAAATAAGCTATCATTGTTGTATTTGCAATCTATGGATTAGAGGTTTAAGTATTTATTAATATTGGTTAATTATTATTATTATTGATTATGTAAATTGCCTCCTGTTTGTCTATTGTGTTGGGTTTCTGAGGTGACACTAGGTGGAGTGCTGTCCAGGAGACACTGGTCCGGGCCACTAGTGGCCCAGCACTCTGGATGCAGGTCCCACGGCGGGTGGGCAGAGGTGCTCTTGCTCTTGAGGCACTGGTCACCCCAAAAGGAGCAGCTGCAATGAGAAGGTTCCCTTTGTGTGCTGGGGGCCCCTCCCTGCCACCCCCTGTCCCAGGCAGGGAGGGCTGGGCCTCAGTCCTCTCCAAGTCCCCTTCAGCTCTCTACCCCCCTGCCTGCCCCCCACCCCCGTGCCCTGGCCTTGGGGTGGCCCCAGAATGGATCGGCCCCCTCCTATTATTTGCTGGAAAGTCCAGCGGAGGAGAGGAGGCAGGTTCCCCCACGTCACGGCTCCAGTCTCTCTGGACTGGATGCCTGGAACCCTCCCCCAGCGCGGCCACACTTTCTGCTCCCATCCTGTCCCTTTCTTTTGTATTTGGGAAAATTGTGTTGTAATAAATCCTGAGATGGATGTTTTCTCCACGCGTCTGGTGCCTCTTTCTTCGGGGTGGGAGGGTGGGGAGGGGTCCTGGAGGCCCCTCCCACGTTTTGTGTGGAACCCTTCTTGTTACGAGCTAGTGAGGACTTGGGGACTTAGAACCAAGTGAAATAAAAACTTAGCTCTGCCCTTCGACTGCCCCTCTCCCTCTCCCCAGGAGTAACCCTGGAAATGATTGGTTGCAGGCCTCCTTGGGTCCCGTGTGGGCCCAGGTGTGCACATACCTACGATGGCTCTTCCTTTTCATCAGAAATGGGGTCCAGCTTTGTAGAGTGTCTGCAGCCATCTCTGCTTTTTAAATATGTAAATGATTTGTTGAAGTCATAGGTTCACGTGGTGCAAGGGCCTCTGGTGTCACTCTCACCCTTGGGCCCCCCCTAGATTCCATTCCCTGGAGGCCACCCTGCCCGCCCTCGGACCTCCCTCCCCTGTCGCAGTCGCCAGGCAGCAGAGGCTGCAGGCTGCATGGTGTGTGCAATGCTATGGGACTCACAGAGTAGGCTTTAGACAGGCTGCCCTGGGTCCCTCCCAAGTTTGCTTGGCGGTTGTATAGCTCAGCCCTGCTGCTGGACACCCACTGTGTGCCAGGCACCTCGCTGGGTATTTCCTAGGCAGCTCCAAGCAGGCCTGTGCCCTCGACCCCTCGGTCCTGTGCAAATACCATCTGAGACCCACAGGGGCCTGACCTTGGAGGTTCGGCCTGCTTCTCTTCTGCTATGCCCTTCCTGCTGTGCAAGCCGGGAGGCAGCCACACCAGTGACCCCGGCCAGACCTGGGTGGCAGTGTGCGCATGTGGGTGCACAGGTGGGCGTGTCCGCATACATGGGTGGGGCTGTGGGAGGAGCTGGGGTCCTTGAATCCTGCACCCTTGAGAGTTCTGGAAGAGGCCGAAAGCTAGAATCACCGCTGGCGCTCCAGCAAGGCTATTTTTAGCTAAAGAACATCTATTTATAACTCTGGCAGCCCCTTGGAGTCAATGAAAGGAGGACTGGAAAAAGCGGGTGCTGCTTCAAGCAGCGTGGAGGTGCTCCCCCACGTCTCATGCTCCTGAGCCCCTGCAGCTGCGGGGGACGAGGGGGAGGGGGTTGACCCCTGGGGTGCAGACGGCCTGGAATCCTGAGGTAGTGAAAGACTGAATGGGGATGGGAATCACTGAGCAAGTGGACCAGGCCTGAACCAAGCAGGTAGTGAGGCAAGACTTGAACCCTGTGGTCTGGCCTGCACCCGCTCCAGCCCGCACACTATCCTAGTGGGACAGCTGGTCTTCTAAATGCTGGGCACCCCTGTATCTGTCTCTGTGTCTACTCAGCTCTGGGCTAAGAACTGTAGGCACTGGAGGGTTCTGGGTGGTGGGTAGAGGGTGGGTATGGGGTGGTGTTGTGTGGATCTTGACCTGTCCATGGTGATGCTATTCTTTTGGCTAGGATGCCTGGGTCACTCTCTTGAGCTCCCCTCATAGACGTTTCCCAGACCAGAGCCAGGGCTGTGGTTGGCCCAGCCCCGTGGTTCTTACTTTGATCGCAGGACGCATCTCAGCACCAACCATCAGGGAGGTTTGAAAACACAGGGTATATTAGTCAGGTCCCAGAGGGTCCGCCTCCTGCCCAAGGCCACACGGCGAGGTGTAGGGGGCAGTATGGATGGGACTCTGCCTTTGTTGGGGCTGGGGTGGGTGCCTAGGGCAGGGATGGCGAACCTATGGCACATGTGTCAGAGGTGACACGTGAACTCATTTTTTTGGTTGATTTTTCTTTGTTAAATGGCATTTAAATATATAAAATAAATATCAAAAATATAAATCTTTGTTTTGCTATGGTTGCAAATATCAAAAAATTTCTAGATGTGACACGGCACCAGAGTTAAGTTAGGGTTTTCCAAAATGCTGACACGCCGAGCTCACCATCACTGGCCTAGGGTTTTGTGGAAGTTCAGGGATGGGGTGGCTGATGTAGCAGACAATGTGTTTATGGGTGATCCATGCCTTTGAGACAGATGCCTCAGCCACCAAAAGCTGCAGCTCAGGTGTTTACCTT